ACATAGGCTTCCACAAAGGCAGGAGGGTGCGGCGGTGATTCGCAGTAGGCGTCTTCGATCCGCCGCCCCCTGTCGGTCGAGTCATCGCAGGGGCGCCTGGCGTGCTGGACCCTTTCGGTTTTGGCTTGGCTTTTTTCCCAAAAAGAACCCCCCTTGGGCTTCGGCGCGTCCCGCCAGGAGATGGCTCAAGGTGTCAAGGTGGCCTCCAAGACGGCTGAGATGGCCCCAAGATGCCTCCAAGACGGCCCAAGATGCACCCACGACGGGCTAAGGTGGCCTCAAGATGGCCCAAGACGGCCCAAGAGGCTTGCAAGAGGTCCTCCAGGAGGGTTCGAAGAGGCCACACTCATATATTTCCCTTCGGTTTTTGAAGGATTTCGGTATTTGCGCCTTTTCGGCTTTCCGACGGCCCAAGACGGCCCAGGAGGCCCTCAAGATCGCCCCAAGATCGCCCACGAGGCCTCCAAGATGGCCCCATGACGGCCCAAGAGGCTCCCAAGATGCTCCCAAGAGGGGTCCAAAACCGTCCGAGAGGCCTCCAAGACGCCCACGATGGCCTCCAAGACGGCTAAGATGGCCCCAAACTGCCTCCAAGAAGGCCCAAGATGCACCCACGACGGCTTAAGATGGCCTCAAGATGGCCCACGACGGCCCAAGAGGCCCCCAAGCGGCTTCCAAGACTGCCCAAGAGGCTTGCAAGAGGTCCTCCAGGAGGGCCCGAGGAGGCCAAAATCAGTGGTTCCCCTGAGGTGTTTGAAGGATTTTGGCATTCGTTTTTTCCCGACGACCCAAGACGGCCCAAGAGGCCCCCAAGATCGCCCACGAGGCCTCCAAGATGGCTCCATGATTGCCCAGCAGGCTCCCAAGACGGCCCCAAAGGGCCCAAGAGGTTTCCCAGACGGCCCAAGATGCACCCAAGACGGCCTAAAATGGCTTCAAGATGGCCCAAGACGGCCCAAACGGGTCCCAGGATGCCTCCAAGACGGCCCAGAAGGCGTCCAGGAGGTCTTCCAGGAGGGCACGAAGGTTTTTGAACGATGTTTGCATTTGCTTCTTCTCGGGATTCCGACGGCTCAAGACGGCGCGAGAGGCCCCCAAGATCGCCCAAGAGGCCTCGAAGATGGCCCCATGACGGCCCAGACGGCTCCCAAGACGGCCCCAAGAGGACCCCAAACCGGCCAAAGAGGCTTCCAAGAAGCCCAAGATGGCTTGTAAGAACCCCTGATCTGCCCCAAGAGGGCCCCAAGACGACCCATACAGGCCCCCAAGACGGCTTCCGACGGCGTCAGACAAGCCAGGGTCGCCCTAAGACGCCAAAAAGGCCCCCAAGAAGCCCCCAACAGCCCCCCCAAACCCTCCAAGAGGCCCCCAAGAAACCTCCAGGAGGCCCCAGGAGTGCCCCAAGATGCGCCCAAGAGGCCTCCTCCTCCTCCTCCTCCTCTTCCTTCTTCTCCTCCTCCTCCTCCTCCTCCTCCTCCTCCTCCTGCTGCCCTGCGATCGTCCCCTCTCTTCGTCGCCTCCTTCCCGCCCTTCCTGCCTCTTGGGCCTCTGACCCGCTCGACTGTATCCTCCCTTGCAGGTGGCCCCGAGACGCGAACAGTGTCTGCTCGTGTGCCATCGCTCTCGATTTGTGTTTCTCTGCGTTCGCTTCGAGGCGTGCGGTGTGCTGTGGCAACCGCCCCGCAGCTCGCTGCTGCTCGTCTTCGTGCCGCCGCCGGGCGCTCGGCCGCCCTCCGCGCGCGCGCCCGTGGGGGCTCGGGACCTCCCTCGCTCCCCCCCTCCTGACCGCCGGCGCTCCTCCTCCTCCTCCTCCTCCTCCTCCTCCTCCTCCTCCTCCTCCTCCTCCTCCGCATCCTCTTCTTTTTTCCTCATCCTCGCCATCCTCTTCTTGCTCCCCCACGCGTTCCCCGAAGTTTTTGTCCGAACCGACTCGGGGGACAACAGGCTCGATAGCTTGGCCAAGCTCGGGCCCAGCTGTCGGCCGCAGAGGTGCTTCCAAAGGGGCAGGGGGCGGCGGTGATTCGCCGTGGGCGTCATCGATCCGCCGCCTCCTGTCGAATCATCGCAGGGGTGCCGGGCGTGCTTGATCCTTTCGGTTTTGGCTTGGCTCTTGTCCCAAAAAGAACCCCCCCTGGGGCTTCGGCACGTCCTGCCAGGGCGCCCACCTCGTCGGCTTCTTCGCTCAAGATGGCCGAAGGTGGCTTCCAAGATGGACAAGATGGCCTCCAAGACGGCTAAGATGGCCCCAAGATGCCTCCAAGACGGCCCAAGATGCGCCCAAGACGGCCTAAGGTGGCTTCAAGATGGCCCAAGACGGCCCAAGAGGCCCCCCAAAAGGCCTTCAAGACGGCCCGAAAGGCTTGCGAGAGGTCCTCCAGGAGGGTCCGAAGAGGCCACACTCATGTATTTTGCTTGGGTGTTTGAAGGATTTTGGCAGTTGCTTCTTTTCGGCATTCCGACGGCTGAAGACGGTCCGAAAGGCCGCCAAGATCGCTCCAGGATCGCCCACGAGGCATCCGAAATGGCCCCGTGACGGCCCAAGAAGCCCCTAAGATGGCCCCGGGAGGGCTCCGAGAGGCTTCCAAGACAGCCAAGATGGCCTCCAAGGCGGTTAAGATGGCCCCAAGATGCCTCCAAGACGGCCCAAGATGCACCCACGACGGCCTAAGGTGGCCTCGAGATGGCCCAAGACGGCCCAAGAGGCCCCCCAAGAGGCTTTCAAGACGGCCCAAGAGGCTTGCAAGAGGTCCTCCAGGATGGTCCGAAGAGGCCACACTCATGTACGTTCCTTGGGTTTTTGAAGGATTTTGGCATTTGCTTCTTTTCGGCATTGCGACGGTTGAAGGCGGTCCGAAAGGCCGCCAAGATCGCTCCAGGATCGCCCACGAGGCCTCCAAGATGGCCCCGTGACGGCCCAAGAAGCCCCTAAGATGGCCCCGAGAGGGCGCCGAGAGGCTTCCAAGACAGCCAAGATGGCCTCCAAGGCGCGTAAAATGACCCCAAGATGCCTCCAAGACGGCCCAAAATGCACCCAATGCGGCCTAATGTGGCCTCAAGATGGCCCAAGACGGCCCAAGGCGGCCCAAGAGGCCCCCAAGCGGCCTTCAAGACGGCCCAAGAGGCTTGCAAGAGGTCCTCCAGGAGGGTCCGAAGAAGCCACGCTCATGTATTTTCCTTGGGTGTTTCAGATATTTTGGCAGTTGCTTCTTTTCGGCATTCCGACGGCTGAAGACGGTCCAAGAGGCCGCCAAGATCGCTCCAAGATCGCCCGCGGGGCCTCCAAGATGGCCCCATGACGGCCCAAGAAGCCCCTAAGATGGCCCCGAGAGGGCTCCAAGAGGCTTCCAATACAGCCAAGATGGCCTCCACGGCGCCTAAGATGGCCCCAAGATGCCTCCAAGACGGCCCAAGATGCACCCAAGACTGCCTAAGGTGGCCACGAGATGGCCCAAGACGGCCCAAGAGGCCCCCAAGAGGCCTTCAAGACGGCTCAAGAGGCTTGCAAGAGGCCCCCCAGGAGGGCCCGAAGAGGCCACACTCATGTATTTTCCCTGGGTGTTTGAAAGATGTTGGCAGTTGCTTATTTTCGGCATTCCGACGGCTGAAGGCGGTCCGAAAGGCCGCCAAGATCGCTCCAGGATCGCCCACGAGGCCTCCAAGATGGCCCCATGACGGCCCAAGAAGCCCCTAAGATGGCCCCGAGAGGGCTCCAAGAGGCTTTCAAGACAGCCGAGATGGCCTCCAAGGCGGTTAAGATGGCCCTAAGATGCCTCCAAGACGGCCCAAGATGCACCCACGACGGCTTAATGTGGCCTCGAGATGGCCCAAGAGGCCCCCAAGAGGCCTTCAATACGGCCCAAGAGGCTTGCAAGAGGTCCTCCCGGAGGGTCCGAAGAGGCCACACTCATGTATTTTGCTTGGGTGTTTGGAAAGATGTTGGCATTTGCTTCTTTTCGGCATTGCGACGGCTGAAGACGGTCCAGGAGGCCGCCAAGATCGCTCCAGGATCGCCCACGAGGCCTCCGAGACGGCCCCATGGCGGCCCAAGAAGCCCCTAAGATGGCCCCGAGAGGGCGCCGAGAGGCTTCCAAGACAGCCAAGATGGCCTCCAAGGCGGCTAAGATGGCCCCAAGATGCTTCCAAGACTGCCCAAGATGCACCCAACACGGCCTAATGTGGCCTCAGGGTGGCCCAAGACGGCCCAAAAGGCCCCCAAGAGGCTTTCAAGACGGCCTAAGAGGCTTGCAAGAGGTCCTCCCGGAGGGTCCGAAGAGGCCACACTCATTTATTGTCCTTGGGTGTTTGGAAAGATGTTGGCATTTGCTTCTTTTCGGCATTGCGACGGCTGAAGACGGTCCAGGAGGCCGCCAAGATCGCTCCAGGATCGCCCACGAGGCCTCCAAGATGGCCCCATGACGGCACAAGAAGCCCCCACAATTGCCCCTAGAGGCTTCCAAGACAGCCAAGATGGCCTCCAAGACGGCTAAGATGGCCCTAAGATGCCTCCAAGACGGCCGAAGATGCACCCAAGACGGCCGAAGATGGCGTCAAGGTGGCCCAAGACGGCCGAAGAGGTCCTTCCAAGACGGTCCAAGAGGCTTCCTATAGGTCCTCCAGGAGAGCCCCAAGATGCCCAAATCCTTGATTTGCCTTAGGTGTTTGAAGGGTGTTGGCATTTGTTTCTGTTTTTGCAATCCGACGGCTCGAGGCGGCCCAAGAGGACCCCAAGATCGCCCACGAGGCCTCCAAGATGGCCCCATGACGGCCCAAGAAGCCCCCAAGATGACCCCAAGAGGGCCCCAAGGGGCCTCCAAGACGGCCAAGATGGCGTCCAAGACGGCTAAGATGGCCCTGAGAGGGCCCCGAGACGGCCAAATATTCATCCAATACGACCTAAGGTGGGCTCAAGATTGACCTCAACTACGGACACTAGTCCCTTTTTATCATCTCCGTCTTCCTCATGCGTGCGAAAGCGCGAGCAATGCTCGCGATGCCACGGCATGATCAAGCTCGATGAGTTTCTGGAGCGAGCAATGCTCGCGATGCATCGTCAAGAGTAAAGACGTGTCAGCTTAGCCATACAGACAATGGAACAACAACACAAAAAAAAACACAACACACAACATTCACCTTATTGAGAACGGGTTATATTGTAACATGTGTGGTGAAACACATACGATAGGAAAATCATGTTTTCCAATTTTCGGCCGAGCTTAGTCATATAATAGTTTGCAACACGTTGTTCTGTAATATATATATATATATATATTGTAAAGTTCACGAGCTATGATAAAGCTTGAAGGGAGTGCCGTATCATGTGTTACGGCTCAAGTCTGTTCTCATGGTCGCGTGGCCCGCCCAGCTTCTCGCTACTAAGGCTGCTGACCTAGCGATAGTCTGGGGCCTCGGCTCGCGACAGTGCCCACCGTGCCCCGACTGTACTGTCAATTGCCCGACGGTCACGTGTTCGACGCCGTCGATCAACATCACCTGCCCGACCTTCTCCTGCCCGTCTCTTGCCCCGCAGTCGGCCGAGGGTTCAGGCTGGTCGAGCGTCTTCTTCTTCGTCGCAGGTCTGCTGGCGGGCTTCGGAGTACTGACTTGCACGGGCCTCATAGGCCGCAGTGCCGGCTGGATATCTTCGTTCTGTGCCAGACGCCCTGACGGGGAGGTCGTCGCGGACGACTCGTCCAAGCGTGACCTGGCATTGAGGCAACTCGCCATCATCCGTCAGCGCAATGGTGGCTCCAGGTGACGTGGTGCTAGTCAAGTACGATCTGCCTGGCCCACCGCTCTGGCATGAGCGCCTCATCCTCACGGTGGGCGCGGCGCCAGGGCACTACGCGGTGCTGACGCCAGACGGCGACGTCTTTGTCGAGGAACTTCGACCAGATAATGACGATATAGCAGAGTTCCGTGCGGCGCCAGGACTGGGAGTACCGCCGCAGGACATCCCGCTGGACAGCGTGTATCGGTTCCAAGCAGTGCCGACCGCCGCCGAGATGATCCAGCACGTGCGAGACGGAGCACTTCAGGCTGGCGTACCAGTCCCAGCAGCGCCTGTGGTGCCTGTCGTGGGCGCGCCTGGCGCAGCGCCTGGAGCCCGGCATCCGCCGCTGGGGCCTGCGGCTCCTCCCGCGGGGGCGCTGGTGGCCGTGCCTCCTCCGATGGGGGCCCACCTCGGCCCAGCCGCGCCGCCGCCCGTGGGTGCAGGCGGCGCGGCCGCCCCAGGTGCGGCTGCGGCGGCTGCTGCGGCACCAGGTCCCGCTGGCGCAGCCGCAGTTGCAGGCTCGCCGCTCGTGTGGGTAGCGGCCGAGGACACCCAGGATATCTCCAAGGGGATTCAGATTCCAGCCCTTCCTGATGCCGCTGTGACGTTCGGCGACAGGGGCATCATCCCCTATGGCATCGGGCACTTGTTTGTGCAGCGTATGGCGGAGGCCGACATCTACAGGTACGTTCACGACGATCTCAGGGTGCTGCCCGTGGTTGTCGACGCTTCGGGAGAGCGTAAGGTCAGCTTCTCGGAGGCAGTCTCGGCCATGGACCCGACGCCCCCGAGAGGCGGTCTGGGCCTAGATGGGCCGGCCACCACGTTCTGGTTGTTGAAGCAGATTCGCGATGATGATGCGAGCCCGAATGCCCACCATGAGAGGTGGGTGCGATCGTCACGCATTCCCGAGGGAGATCGCTCAGTGTACGAGCATCAGGTTCTCTGCAGGATCCTTGACGCTGCCGCCACCTACGATCAGCTGAACCTGCCAGCTATGAAGTGGGCCGAATTGGTATGCCGCCGCATGGCTTTGATAAAGGAGGCCCACCGGGCCGCGCCGTCCAATCCAGACTACTCTGCTGGCGACGTCTTCATGGGCTGGGGACCCCAGTCGGCGGGAGGCGGCACCAATCCAGCGCTGGCGCAGTACGTGGCAAACCAGCTGAAGGACCAGGCGGCCATCGCCAAAGAGAGCAGGAAAGCCCGCGAGGAGCAGCAGGCCCGAGGACGTGGACGCGGCAGAGGCCGTGGTCGCGGCGGAGGCGGACTCGCTCCCGCGGGCGAGGAGGGATGAGCCCCCTCCCTCCTGGGCAGAGTGGCCGCCTCCCAGGAGATCTTCAAGGCCTGCGCGGCGGTGGTGTCTTACAGCAGCAGCTCCACCGCGCCCGTGCACCACAAGAGCTCGGACCCTTCCATGCCCATCGACATGGCCAGGCAGTCGCGGGGGATCGACCTCGCGATCTTTTTCCTTTGCCTCCAGTTGATGCCATGCGAGATGTGCCTGAGCAAGTTTTGTCTTCTGATCGAGCCCTTCAGCGCCGAGAGCGACGTGCCCTCGAAGCGACAACGGTGTGCAATGCCCTCAATGAGTTGTACGGGGTCGGCTCCACGGACCTCACTCCCAACCTGGCGCAGGAGGAGGCTCACCATCAGGTACTGAGCAAACTAGCTTCTGTGCCCGGCAGCGGCAAACCTGTACCTTTTCCGCATGACGCCTTCCGTGAGGTCATGCGTACAGACCTCTCCTACGCTTCGGAGGAGGTTGCGAGTCGCGTCCGACCCTTTCGCACTGCCCCCGTGTCTCTTCCTCAGTCGGGCGCGAGGGCGCCCAGGCTTGAGGATGTCCTTGACCAGGAGGGGCGTCAGGTTTTAATCGATGGGGTCGACCGCATGCTTAAGTCCCCACAGGAGTGGGGGGAAGTGATCGAGACCTCTCCTCACGTCACCCCCATACTTCGATGAGGTCTTGCGAGCTGATCAGATTGCATACGAAGGTTTTGTGAAAGACTTGTATCACGCGGGTATCGTCGAGTTTTCGTTTGAGGTCGAAGATCACATCACTCCATTCTTTGTCGATAAGAAGGGTGTTGCTCTGCGCATGGTGTTGGATTGTCGAAGTCCGAACCGCAGGTTCAGAGCGCCACCTCGGATGAGGATCGCAACGGGAGCTGTCCTCTCTCGTCTGCAGGTTCCACAAGGCCAAGTTTTGTACGGCGCTCTGTCGGATGTCAGCAATTTTTTCTACTGGCTCGTGCTGCCGCACTGGCTCCGTAAGTACGTTGGCCTGCCAACAGTTAGTACTGCCAACGTCATATCGTGGGGCGCTCTTCCAGGACATGAGTCACTTGGGGATGGCCTTCCTGGTCGTGTTTATCCTGTCATGCGGGTCTGTCCTCAGGGCTGGTCCTGGGCTTTCTGGTTCGCACAACGGGCTCACTCACATCAGGTTCTACTGGGCACCCGACTTGGCTCAGACCGACTCCTCGAAGAAGATGCCCCAACTCCGGACTTGTCGTGTAAGGTCCCCGTGGTCTTCCCCTACTGCGACAACTTGATAGTCATGGACACAGACAAAGACTCCGTCAGTAATGTTAAGAGGTTGGCAGTCGAGCAGCTCAGACGTGTGGGCTTCCAGGTACACGAGGAGGTGGAGGTTACAACCTTTTTCGAGTCCCTGGGCTACCTGGTTGATGGAAAACGGGGGGGGGTCTTCCCGATCCCTCATCGGCTTGAGAAGGCCGTCGCAGCGTTCACCCATCTCAGGAGAAGACCACACATCACGGGCTGGCAAATTAGTAAGGCTCTCGGTTACGTCACGCCGATCTTCCTCCTCACCCGCTCCATGTTCTCATTGCCCAATGCCCTGTATCAGTTCATGCACGAGAACTGGAGCCGCAAGAGGCGTCTCTGGCATTCAGCCGCGCTGGAGTGTAAGTGGATATCTGTGTTGCTACCGCTCGCTTGGGCGGACCTCAGGATGCCATGGACTTCGCAGGTAAAAGCTACAGATGCCTCGCTGTCCGGGTACGCCGTGGGCAAGTCCCTCTGGAATGTCTCAGATGTAGTGGAGGCAGGGGGTGCACGAGAAAGGTTTCGATATCGCTGTGCCGTGCCGTCAGCCGCGCCGCGCCGTGCCGCTCTGGGGACCCTCGACCCGTTCCAGGACCTCGAGACGGTGAAGCCCATCGTCGACCGCTTCGAGCCCTCCCCCTACGAGCCCAACTACCTCTTCAAAGAGATCCCCGAGGGCCTCCTGCAGGACTCCATGTGGAAGACTAGCTACGCGGCGCCCTTTGTGTTCAAGGAGGGTATTGGGGATCTGGAGTCTCGTGCTACGGTCTCTGGCGTTAAGCATACTCTGAGGTCTTCTGGAGGTTTCCGCTCTCACCACCTGCACCTCGGAGACAATTTGGGCAATGTCTTGGGACAGGAGAAGGGCCGTATGAAGAACTTCACGCGTCTGGTCTGCTGTAGGAGACTCTGTGCTCTGGAGCTTGCCACTTCCGCTCGCATACACCATCGCTGGATACCCTCAGAGCGGAATCCTGTGGACAAGGGGTCTCGTTTGTGGGAGCACCTTAGGCTCAGACATGGTCAGGGGCCTTCTCCCTCAGGGAACGCAGCCTCTGCCACGGCCTCAGGTGCGACTGTACGGCCAGCCGCCTTTCGTCCTCCTCCAGGACTGCCCGATCCCGTCCCATGTGCGAGCCCCTCGCCCTCGGGGCCGAGGCCTGCGGGCCGCGCAGGTGAGGCCGCCCTCTCGGGCTACGACGGCCTCAGCCGCGCGGCGTGCTCGCACGCTGGGGACGCAGGAGAAGCAGCGGCTCGCTCGGGGTGCGCCCAGCAAAGACGCTCGGGCACATCTCAGGCGCGAGATGGTCGGCTCGATCGGCATCCGTGCGTCACGCTCGCCAGAGGCGCAGGTCGAGACGTTCTTGGAGGCGAACGCCGTCACGGAGCGGACACACGCCATGTACGTCAAGAGGGTCGCGGACTTCGAGAGCTGGGTCTCGGCCAGGGGCCTCAAGCTCACCTCCGCCAAGCTGGTGGACTGCGCGCTGGTGGACTACCTGAACCAGCTGTGGATCGACGGCGCGGACATCGGCGAGGCAACGGGCACCTACGCGGCCTGGGTCAAGCTTCGCCCCTCCTTCTCCAAGAAGGGCCCCGACAAGCTCGTGAGGACCATGAAGGCTCTGCAGGGCTTCAACAGGCTGGACCCCGGCAGGACCAGGCCGCCTCTGCCGCTGGCGTTCGCAGCCCTCATAGCGGTGGAGCTCGTCGGCATGGGCCTTGGCGGCATGGCGCTGGCGGTGATGCTCATGTTCTCGGCGTACCTGAGGCCAATCGAGCTCCTCTCGCTTCAGTTGTCGGACGTGCTCGTGCCGACCCAAGGCAGCCCCTACTACGCGATCCATCTTCACCGTGCGGAGCGAGGTCAGCCGAGCAAAGTTGGCCTGTACGACGAGACGCTGCTGTTGGACTCGTCGGCGCTGCCGTTCCTCGGATACCTTCTGGACGCGCACCGGGCCGCGGCTGCAGGGCCAGCACTGTTCGACTTCGATTACCGGAGCTTCAACGAGAGTTTCAGGACAGCTGCAAGGACCGCAGGTCTGGCGGCCATCAAGCCCGACCTTTACCAACTTCGTCACGGCGGCCCCTCGCACGACATCCTCAACCGTCTTCGCTCGAAGGCGGAGGTGAAGGACAGAGGCCGCTGGAGGGACGATCGTTCAGTTCGACGTTACGAGGCGCACGGCAGGCTACAGCTTCAGGAGAAGCTGGTCTCAGAGGCGACACAGAGCCGCGCGGCAGCATGCCTGGCCGACCTCGAGGCTCAGCTCCGGTCAAGTATGCCGCAGTTCGCCCGTGCCGTGCCATCTTCCAAGGTCAGAAGATCGTCGAGCTCTTCTCTGGTGAAGCTGGCTTCTCAAGGGCTGTCGCAGCCCAGGGGATCGAAGCGGAAGCTTGGGATGTGATTGATGGTCCCAGCGCAGACATCTTGACGACCGCCAACAGACGTAGGCTGGTCAAAGATTTCAAGACAGGCAGGGCTGTGGCCCTGCTAGCTGCTCTCCCTTGTCAGACTTGGACAAGGGCCCGAAAAAATGACGGTCAGGGACCTGGACCCCTTCGGGACGATCAGGACCACCTCTGGGGCCTCCCAAATCTTTCCCAAAAGGATCACGACAGGGTCCAGCTAGGCAACAGGCTCTGGGTCGTCACCTTCCGCATCATCTGTCAGCTGGCCTCCCTCGGGGTCCCTGTGGTGCTCGAGAACCCGTTCTCGTCCAGGATCTGGATTACCAAGCATGTTAGTTATCTCATACGCAAATTTGGGGCGCGTTTGCTCGAGGCACATTATTGTCAGTACGGAACCCAGTGGAAAAAACCTACAGGCTTCCTGGTCATCAATTGCAACTCACTGTGTGACTTCAAAAGATGTTCTGGGACAGGGGGACGCTGCTCTGCCAGTGGACATAGGCATATACAGCTCATGGGTAAGGACGCCAACGGTAACTTCCGCACTAGAAGGGCTCAGGCCTATCCCGCCCCCCTCTGTAACTTTTTAGCCCGCTCCCTGGTCGCTCATTTAACAAGTCAATATATGCTTAGCCTCGAACCTCATTTTTTTCGCGCTAGATAAAGATAATTAGCACTTCGTAGAGCACACGTGTATGTGGGTATGGGAGCGATTGATTGCTCGAGTATTTCTCACGATCCCGCAACTCGTCGCCACTGGACTGCTGATGTCTACTGTCTGCCTCGTAGCGTGCCCAGGCGGAGAGCTCAGTAACATTGTGCACTGTGCTGCCAAAAGATCCCTTTTGTACATCTTGTGGCTTCGCCCATGCACGTCCTGGCACGGTATGTTGCGGGATCATTGTAAAGTTCACGAGCTATGATAAAGCTTGAAGGGAGTGCCGTATCATGTGTTACGGCTCAAGTCTCCCGCCCACTGCCACCCTCAACCCTGTCGAGCAGGGTTGCTTATCAGTTGTTTCACAACTCTCGCTAAAGCGGAACTAACCTCTCCGGCTGGGAACGATTGATTGCTCGAGTATTTCTCACGATCCCGCAACTCGTCGCCACTGGACTGCTGATGTCTACTGTCTGCCTCGTAGCGTGCCCAGGCGGAGAGCTCAGTAACATTGTGCACTGTGCTGCCAAAAGATCCCTTTTGTACATCTTGTGGCTTCGCCCATGCACGTCCTGGCACGGTATGTTGCGGGATCATATATATTATATATATGTGTGATGTAGTTTTGGGATCGTTGTAACATCTATTGTATGACCATTCTAATCTATTATACACCTATTGCTAAAGTGCAGTACGGCTGTTCGATATCTGTTTTGAAATAGTTTGGGGTGGGCCTCAAAGTTGGCGGGGCCGCCAGGGCAACTCCGGAGTACCCCAGCGAGGCCGCCGGGGCAAACCTGCAGTGCCCCGGCCGGGCCGCCAGGGTAACGCCCTGGTCCCAGACCCCCGACGTCGTGATTTTTTCACAGCGTCGACCCCCGGAGGTCTGGACCCCTTCCCCGTGACCGGCTTTTCATCCTGAGTCGTTTTCTGACGGTCTCGGGGCCCGGTGAGCGCCCCTGGAGGCCGAAAGTAGCAGAAAACTTCCCGTCGTGATTTTTTCACAGCTCGGGGGGGTCTGGGGTCTGGGGTCGCCGGGGCACTTCCGGGGAGCACCCCGGCAGGTGGCCGGGGCGGCCCCTGGCCGGGCCTTCTGAGGTAACTCCGGGGCGCCCCCGCCGGGCCGCCTGCCGCCTGCCTGCCTGCGGCGGGCCAGCCATCTCAAGGCATTCTGGCACCGGGGCCTCTGGCAGCTGCTCGGGCCGAGCTGGGCACCCCCGAGGGCGCCCTCGAGGCGCAGCTGCTGGGCCGCGCCTCGAGGCAGGAGAACCGCCAGGCATCGACGAAGGCGTCAACAGCCTCCAGGAAAAAACCTCCAGGAGAAGCCTTCTGGCATCCAGCACGGGGGAGTGATATCCGGTTTCGGGCGGCAGCTCAAGTGGCACGCCTCCATATGGTCCGCCGAGGAGCGCCTGCTGCGTGCTTGCTCACCCGGCGCCTGCTGTTGCCGAGTGAGCAGCCTTCTGCTCGATGCTTCAAAGATGCCTTCGGCGACACAAGATGTGGGGGAGGGGGCGACCGTCCAGCCTCCGTGCGGCGAGGGCTCGGGCCATCGCCAAGAAGAGCGAAGCCGCATGGCCTGAGGCACGAGCCGGGAGCCAGCACGCCCGGCCTCATCCCCATTCTCGCCTTCATCCTCCTCGTGGTCGTCGTGGTCGTCGCCACCATCCCCCCCAAAAACAAGCTTGTGATCCTAAGGAACCTGGGCTGCTGTGCGGGGCCGGAGGAGGTGCGCGAGAGCGGGCTCTCCTTCGACATGTTCAACAGCCTGGCAGGCCGAGGGCAGTGGCGAACCAAAGAACGCGAGTATCGCAAGGAGGAGCCAATGATGAGGACGTTGAGGCTTACCTGGCCAGTGCCACCGGACGCGCGCGCCGGCTGCATTTTGGCTTGGGCATCGCTACGACGCTGCGCGAGCCGCTGCCGAGCAGAGGGAAGGTGCCGATGAAGAAGAGGAGGAGCAGGAGGAGGGGGAGTGAGGAAGGGAAGGATGAGGAGGAGGAGGAGGAGGAAGAGGTGGACCAGTGCGAACCGAAGGCGCATCAACGATGTTGCAACAAACCTTCCCTCCGAGGTCCCCCTTCATAGGCCCCCATCAGAATTCGTGTTCATTCTGGGAAGTCGCAATTCGACGACAACCGTCTGAGAATCCGCAATCGTGCCATATCACCGTTCGTGTGACTTCAACGCCCCAGCTCAACATGTCTCTTGCGCCCTGACAATCCGAAACCGTGCCAGAAACGCGTTTCCTGGGATTTCAACGCCGAGACGCAGTGTGGCTGTTGCGTCCTGGGGCTCCCACGCCGTGCCGTACCACCACCCATGGGATTTCGACCATGCGAACCCCTGAGACTGCTGCAGATTTCTACGAACAATGTGCGGGGCGCAGAGAGCGAGAGCCACATTTTGAACAGGGGCCGCCCTCCATCCTTGAAATCGTGGCACACTTCTCCATTGGCGTTTCGCTGGAGGGCTTTCATCGCGCCCAAAGACTTCCCCATCAGAATCTCCTCGGTGGGGGCCGAGAGGAGGCGTCTCCCAGGCCCGGCGGTGGCGCGGCAGCGCTCACGATGGTGTTTTGGGTCCACTTGGTCGAGAAGTCCGACTCACGATGGTGGTCCTGCAGCCCAGAATCTGCCGGCAGTGCTCACTATCATGTTCGTGTTCGATCGGGTCTAGACACGCGATTCATCATGGTGATCTGGCTCGATTGCACCCCTCGGATGTTGTGTTTTTGCATTGGCGTTTCGCTACAGCTTTCTTATAGGGCTCCAAGCTTCAGTCCTCTCGCTGCTGCTCCTTCTGCCCCTTCGCAACGCCCCAGGGCTCGCAGAGGCCCTCCTTCCAGCATGGCCACCGAGGGGACGATTGGTTCTAGTAGGACTCAGGGCCGAAGGGCTGCCTCTGATGCATCCATATTTGCCCAACGATGTGCCGTACTATTCTCTGGGTGATGACTCAGGAGGGGAAAAACACAGACACAATTAATCGTCGATTCCTACGAGAATATGGGAAAATATGGGAATTGGGGGGGAAGACAAAAGCCCAGAAAATATGGGAAAGTATGGTGCATCCTTTGATTTGTGTGTATTGATTTGTGCGTCCCAGGGCCCCTTCAATGACAGGCTGGAGCAGGATCTGGTCTGGAGCGCGCGAGCGTGATTGGTGGGAGCTTTCGGCCTCCAGGGCCTCCTGCGGCGGCGCGTCCTGGGACCGGCAGCAGCACCTGCCCGCTCCTCTGAGCGCAGCAGGGGCCGAGGGACGGCGGCGAAGATACGAGACAGGGGGACCAGGCCTCTTCCTTCCTCCTTCTTCCCTCCTCCTGCTTCCTCCTCCCTGCTCTTTCCCAGGTAGCCTGGTCTCCAGGACTACATCGTCTTTGTTTTCACGGCGAGGAAGACAGGGTCAGGAGAAGGAGGATGAGGAGGAGGAGGGGGAGGAGGAGGAGGAGGAGGAGGAGGAGGAGGAGGAGGAGGAGGAGGAGGACGACCAGGGCGCGGGCCGTGGTCTGGACCTGCGCGGTGCGCAGCCCGACAGGCTGCAACGGCGCGGACTCCGTTTTGCATCGCGCGCCCCCGCGCGGTCGCTCATCGGGTGCCGACCAAGCGCCGCTCTCAGGAGGGCCACGGTCGGTCGATCGGGGCCTGGTCACCGATCGACCGCCGAGATCGTGGTGATTGACTTATGTATAAATATATACATAGACATATGCATATACACAAATGTAATATATATATATATATGTAAAGTATATATATGTGTTCATGTATACACATGCAAGACTGCATTGGCGCTTTGCGCCATGAACTTTTGTCCTTGAGGTTTGGCATGCACGCAGCAGGGCAATACGGTAAAGAATTGAACATTCAGCGACACCTCGTCGTTGCCTTTTCTGACATCGTCGTTGTCGCAATGTTATTCGTGATCCCTCCCTCAAGTTTCCTCTTCCTCTTCCTCATTCTCGCCCTACCCTGCGAATTCGCCCCCATCTTCAGCTCTTTTTGCTTGGGTCCTCCTGGAAGCCTCCTGGGTTCCTCCTGGGTCGCAGACCCTGCGAAAGCCCAGACCCTATTTTTTTTTACAAGCTGGGACCCTGCGACCACCCCCCCCCAAAACGGGACCCTTCCAGATCCCTGGCCAGGGGGTGCACCCTGGACGCCCTTGCAGGCGGTCCCCTGTGCTTTCCGGGGCTCCTGAAGCCCCTGCTGGCCCACAAGAGGCATTCGAAACGCAAAACATGGATCTCTTATGGTTTTTGTGTGATGTGGGAATGCCCAATTCTTGTGTGTTCTGGGCGTCCGAGACCGCCGAGGAGGCCAGAGCACTGCCCCCAATTCAACCAAGAGGGTTTCCAGGCAGTCCAAGAGGAGCCCCAAGGCGGCCCAACAAGGCCCCAAAATGGGCCGAAGAGAGCCCCATGACGGCCCAGGATGGCCCCAGGACGCCTCCCGAATCATTCCAAATCGTGACCTGGTCGTTCAGGGAGGCCGCGGTTGGAAGCAGGGTGGCCCGGGGAAGTCTCCACGGACCCAGGAGGCTTCCAGGAGGCCCCAACAAGCCCTTACAAACCTTCGCGAGACTTACAATGGGCTCTCCTAGGATGAGCCTCCGCAACAAGAGCTACACGTTCCGTTTTACCTTATTGCCTTCCTGACTGCATGGCAACCTGAAGTACCAAAGTGCATGGCGCGAAGCGCCAAGGCCGCCCTGGATACCATATATATATTATATATATATATATATATATATATATATATGTAACATGCATTTTTCTCTCTCTCTCTCTCTCTCTCTCTTTTCGCTCTTTCTTTGTATATATATATATATATATATATATATTATATGTATGTGCTTATTTATTACATATGTCTATTGGAGGAGGCCGCGGGCGGGCCCTGGACCGCGACCACGGGTACACCTGGCCGCTCCGAGGGCCCCAGGGGCGCCCTCGTGGCCCCCAAAGCGGCATCCTGGGCGCACGGATGGCCCACGCGTTGGCACGGCAGTCGACCGGACCGGTGCGATCCCACCGAAAGGGCACCGAAGGTGCTGTCCGAACGGCCTCCGAAGGCTTCAAGGCTGCGCCAGGGCGGCCCCGGGCAGGCTTCAGTGGGCGCTCGAGGTCCCAGGCGAGCGCCCCGGGAGGCAAGAAGCACTGGCTCCCCGTGGCTGTTTCAATGTTTTCGGGGCCCACTGTCTGTTTCCCAACCATCATGTGGTCTTGGAGCCTCGTTTTGAAAGCCAGCGCGCCACGTCTCCTCTCCTCTCCTCCTTTTCTCTGCTCCCATCCCTGCCGCTGCCCTCCACGCCCAGTGCAGCGTTTCGTAGCCCCATGGGGAGCTCCACCGAAGGCTCCAGTGGCTGTGTCCACATGCGTCCCGCGCCACCCGCCCCAGTGGCTGTGGCCACATGCGTCCTGCGCCACCCAGTACGGCGTTTCGTGTTTCTACAGGAAGCTCTACCGAAGGCCCCAGTGGTTGTGCCCACATTATCCAGTACGGCGCTTCGTGGCTTCATAGGGAGCTCCACCGAAGGCCCCAGTTGCAGTGACCGCATGCGTCTCGCGCCACCCAGTATGGCGTTTCGTGGCCCCACAAGGAGCTCCACCGAAGGCCCCAGTGGCTGTACCCACGTGCGTCCCGCGCCACAGTAAGGCGTTTCGTGGCCCCATAAGGAGCTCCACCGAAGGCCTCAGTGGCTGTGCCCACATGCGTCCCGCGCCACCCAGTACAGCGTTTCGTGGTCCCATCGGGGGCTCCACCAAAGGCCCCAGGGGCTATGACCACATGCGTCTCCCCCCGCCCATTTCGGCACACCCCTCAAGCGTTTCGTGGCCCCACACGGGGCTCCACTGAAGGTTCAGTGGCGACGCTCGCATGCGTTCCCCCCTCCCATCCCGGCATACATCACACGTTTAGTGGCCCCATAGGGAGCTCCTCCGGAGGCCCCAGCGGCGACGTTCGCATGGCGGCCTCTGCCCGTCATGAAGCGGTGTTGGACCCTTCTTGGGCCGTCACGGATCGTCGGAAACTCGAAATGTGGAGGACCCAAGGAAAACAGGGAATCAAAGGTTTTGGCTTCTCAGGGCGCTTGTCTGGAGCCTCGGGCGCCCACTGAGGCATGCCGGGAGCCGTCCTGGCGCCTTCTTGGGGCCTCCTGGGAGCCTCTTGGGACGAAGGGGTCGAAATGTCGCTTCCTGTTCCCCCTTCTTGAGCCCATCTTGATTCCGTCCTTGAGGCTTCTAAGGCCGTCTTGGGCGCCCCTGGGGCCGTCATGAAGCCCTGTTAGGTTGTCCTGGGGTCCTTCTGTGAGCCTCGTGGCCGGTCCTGAGGCGGTGTTGGAGGCCTCTTTGGCCATCGTGGATTGTCGGGGACTCGAAAAGTGGAGAGCCCCGAAAAGATTAGAAAACCCAAGGGGAAGCACATATTTTGGCATCTCGGGGCGCTCGTCTTGAGCCTCGGGCGCCCTCTGGAGCTTACCCAGGGCCGTTCTGGTGCCTTCTGGAAGCCTCATGGGCATGGGAGCCCCTTGGGGCGCAGGAGTAGACATTTCGTTTCACGCTTCCCCACTTAAGCCGATATCGGGGCCGTCCTCAGGGCCTCTTGGGCCGTCTTGGGCGCCCCTGCGGGCGTGAGGGGGCCCTGCTAGGCCGTCCCAGGGCCCTCCTCGGGGCCGCCTGGCTTGTCCTGGGGCAGTATCGGAGGCCTCTTGGGCCGTAGTGGAGTGGCCAAGGGGTCCCCAGGACGGCCCCAGGACGACCTCACAAGGTTCCACGACGGCCCCATGGGGTACCCCAGACGGCCCAAGAGGCCCAGACACTGCCCCAAGCTGGGCTCAAGGAAGGGAGCATGAACGAAGGATTGCAAAAAAACGAAGGATTGCAAACAAAACGAAGGATTGCAAACAAAAACCCAAGGATTGCAACAAAAAACCAAGGATTGCAAAACAACCCATTTTTGCAATCCAGGGTTTTTTTGCAATCCTTCATTTCCAGTGGTTCGGACCAAGAGGCTCCCAGAAGGCCCCTAGATGGCCCTCAGAGGCTGCCGCGTGGCCCCAAGAGAACTCCATGAGGCCCCCACGACGTCCCCCAAAGGCCCCGAAACAGCCCCCAAGATGCCAGACAACGGCCCCCCGACGCCCCCGCGAGGCCTCCCTCGAGATCATACCGAGCACTCTCGTGGCTTTTGACCCCTTACTCAGGCACGGTGGAGGAATGGGTCGAAGGCCATTCCAGTCTCTTTCGCACTCCCCCTCCGCTTCTTGCAGAAAAACTTGCCGTGGCCTTCCCAGCTGCTACCGTTCTTGGTTCGTTACCTAGCGCCTCCCCCTGCCGATTTCGAAGCCGTATCACCATAACAATATGTCCGAATGGTTCAATCTGGCTGTCCTTCGGGCTTCGCAGCCTCATTTGGGGTGCCCCAGCGACCTCCACGAGGATTTCAATACGGTCACGCCCACCATGTTCCCGGAGAGTTTTCTGGGCGCATGTTTGCCGCATCCAGTCAGTCGAGGAGACCGACCAAGAGGAGGAGGAGGAGGAGGAGGAGGAGGAGGAGGAGGAGGAGGAGGAGGAGGAGGAGGACGAGGACGAGGACGAGGAGGAGGAGGAGGAGGAGGAGGAGGAGGAGGAGGAAGAGGAGGCCCCGCGCGGCCTCCGTCTACATCCCACCGAACATCCGACAGGTTTTTGATCCACGATCCAAGGACGGCGGCGGGATAGGCCGAAGCCCATTCCGGTCTTTCTTCTAAGCCCCACACGCTTTTTTCTGACCCTCCTTTTCGTGGCCTTCCCAGCTCTAGCGGTGTTTGCTTTGTTACCTCACACCTCCTTCACGTCATTTCCAAACCCACTTTTTCACCCCCGTTCTCAAGGTTTTCGAATGATTCCATTGGGCCGTCCTGCGGGCTTTGCAGCCTCACTTGAGGTACCTCGGAACCTTCCACGAGGGCCCCAACACGGCCCACACCATCATGTTCCCAGAAAGCTTTCTGCGAACATGATTGTCGCCGCCAGTCGAAAGAGGAAGAGGAGAGCGAAGAGGGGAGGGGAGCGCGGAGGCAGAGCACGAAGGTGAAGATCACGAGGAGGAGGAGGAGGAGGAGAAGGAGGAAAAGGAAGATATTTATAAACATCAAGAGGCGTGAAGAAAAGGAAGGACAAGGAATCCCCACTTTCTTCTCTGATGCATCCCTCGCTCCATTTCCCGTCCCCTTCCTTTTTGTTTCTCCTGGGCAACATACGGGACAGGCGTGTACAATTCAAGCCAGTAGCTGGGGAGAGATGAGATCATCATTCACACATATTGTAAGGAGGAAGGGAAGGGGTGGGAACGGGTGCTTCCGAGGCTACGTTCGAGGAGGCCTTCCGGGCATCCGTGCGCGCGATCAGCAGAAGCCAAGAACGCGAGTGCATCGTCGTGTGCTACTCGCGGGAGGTGCTCGCGAGGAGGAGGAGGATAAGGAGGAGGAGTAGGAGAAGGAGGAGTAGGATAACATTGATGAGGATGAGGATGAAACTTGTGATGATGATGAGGAGGAGGGGGAGGAGGAGGAGGATGAGGAGGAGGAGGAGGAGGAAAAGGAGGAGGAGGAATAGGAGGAGGAGGAGGAGGAGGAGGAGCAGCAGCAGCAACAGCAGCAGCAGCAGCAGCACCAGCAGCAGCAGGAGGTGGAGGAGGAGGAGGAGGAGGAGGGAGATTCAGGAAATGGGGGGGGCAGGGAGTGGTTGAGGTGGGGGGGAGTCAGGAGCAGGGAGGAGAGGGAGGGGAAGGAGGGCAGGTGGGCAGGAGGGAAGGAGGGAGGAAGGCATGAAAATGAGGAGGAAGAGGAGGAGGAAGAGGAAGAGGAGGAGGAACAGGAAGAGGAGGAGGGGGAGGAGGACAAGGAGGAAGTTTCTAGCTACGCTCACCTCGTGTGCTCTTTTGCTGCGCTGCCATTGTCCTCTGACTGAGGTTTGGTGGCGCCATCTTATAACAAAACATTTTTTGGCATTGGCGTTACGTATAGCTATCTGTTTTCAGTAAATGGTGGTCGCGCGCGCGGTCGGACTCCCTTCCCTCGGCTGGCTATATCATACACTTCTGCTCCAGTGCATTTGCTGACCGGAGACTCTTGATAGTACTCCATGGCATCAAATACATCTTCTCCGAGACTTTACTTGGGACTACTACTACAAGATGACTACACGAGCATTCAGAAACAGTGCGTCTCAATCGGGGCAAAATCATGTCCGAACCCATGATAAATAAGCCAATGGGCACGTTAGCAGCCGAACGTTTCACGACGAAATCGCGAATCTGTGCTTCCTGTTTCGAAGGTGTGCGTACCAAGCTACGAAGAGCAATGCCACGATTCAGAAGGGTTTCAAATTATCAGATTCGGGACCGAGTCTCATGACTGTGTCAGGGGTCCCGAGTCGCGTTCTTCCCCATAATCACAGCAAGAACTTCTCGCTGTCGTCGGGTGATACGCTGGCAGACGATGGCCGCGCCCGTCGTGACGGACGCAGATCAGGCGGAGGCGGACGCCGAGTGGTACGGTACGAGCAACACAGACAAGCAACCGTTGCCGGCGGGCGTCCGCCAAGCATACGTGATTTGCTTCGATTATTCGGAGGCACACGTAACCGTCTCGTCGGGAGAAGGAGATTAGTCAAGTCGACATCCCCCGCCTGAGAAGGGCAACGGCTGCTGAATCTCATCCAGAGTCATCGGGGACAGTCTAAGAAGGCAGTCTGTCGCGAATGCTCGGTCAGCTGCGCCCTGTGAAACTTGATCTTCCTGTGCCCGGACCGCCTCCCCCCTCTCTCTTGCAATTGCATGGAACTGCGCGGCCTCGAATGGGATCGGGCTGAAGAGAGGAGGCGGGAGGCGGTGGCCAAATAATGGGACCGGGTGCTGGCGCGAATGAGTGACCAGATCACGATAACCGAAGCGCAACGGCGCGCCGCTGCTCGTGCCCAGGCAGAAACGACCGCATCGCCATTGTTCGCGCCATGGAGCAGGCCGAGGGAAGGCAGCGGGCTGCCGCCTCAGAGCAGGCGGTGCGAGCGTCAGCCGAGCTCCGCGAACTGGCTAGGTCGAGGACTCGGCAGCCGCTGTGAAGCGCGCTCGAGACCCATAAAAGGGCGTCGAGGTGGAGGCCGCAAGCGTCGTCCGGGGGGCCGGAGAGACCCGGCAAGTGACGAGGATTAGGGATGCTGCAGAGCTCAAGGCTGCTGAGGCACGCGACGCTCTCCTTGAGGCAGAGACGCAGACGGCGGCGCGGCGGGCTCAGGCAAACCGACTGACTGCCGAGGCTGTCGCGAAGAGGGCATCGGCCGAGAGTGCATAGGCCATGAGGCAGGCGCGGGGCGAGGTCAGCGACGCTCGTCAACGGGCGCAAGCTCATTAGCGCACAAGTCATCCCCGATGAGCCTCGCGTGTTGGTATGTATGCATTTGTGCGAGAACTTCGCCACGTACGCGTGGTGCAGTGACGTCGGGGATGAGGAAGCCGAACGACTGGCATCGCCTATCGTCAATTTTGCGGTGCACAGCGCGGCGCATGTGCCCAGCTCGGGTGTTTGGGCGGAAGCTAAGGTCATCGTGGGCGCGATCGAGTGTGAGGGATGCGACAGGGCATGGGCGCGCCCTTGCGCGCCTTGGCTGAGTTGCCTGCGCGCGCCGTTCAAATGCTGGGCGCCGAAATGACAGGAGAAGCAGACGGTGCCACCGCAAAAGCCACCCAATTGGGACGAGAGCTTCCGGCGCATGCGGCTGTCCAGCTACTGCGCCGCCAGCGGCGGCGAAGTCGAGAAGCCCGCGACCAAGCCGTTGTTGTTCCGAGCCTGCCAGGGCACTCACTTCGGGTGATTGCGCTTGAACGGTTCTCTGTCAAGTACGGGCCGTCCGCCAGGGATCAGCATGCGGCACCCTCGCGCCGCTCGACGTGGCTTTAGTGATCCAGTCGATGGCCTGACAGGTCCTGGCCCCGGAGAAGGACCTCAGTGGGGCGCGCCAGTGCGAGTATTTCAACGTCGTGCTTACGACTGCATCTGCGAAGCCAGGGAGGACTGCGCCCGCGGAGCGGTATTCTGATCCGCCGAGGCATGGAGAGAGGGCGCGGAGAGAACCCCGAGAAGCTCCCGCGCTGGCATGGGCCGAACAGGTGGTCAAGGGATTACGGCGCACTGGGTCTAGATGCGAGCGTCGTCAATTTGGAGGGCCCACGTGCGTTGTCAGGTTCGTGCGTCACGACGTTCGCGTCCCAAATATTTGACGCGGCTGCCTTCTGGATTCTCCCAGGCGGCGGAGTTCCGTCCAAACTGGAGCGACGTGCATCGGATCTTTCGAGCGATCGCAGCAGGAATCGCGGCCCCGACAGTCACGTGGACCCCGGTCTATGCCGGCGGGTTCACGGCGTGAAGATTGAGCCGAGATTGGGGGCAGGATCATCGATTGGATTGAACAACGTCAGTTTGTCCATTGAATCGGCGGCGACGATGGCGACGTCCTCGCGCTGGCGGGGTTCAAGGCGAAGCTGCTCCTACCACCGCCGTGGGACGATGGCTACCTCGTCCGTTGCGGAGCATGCAGAAATCGCACGGGGGCGCCTCGCTCTCTTCACTGGCTCTCTTTTCTATATTCTTCATCCTGGAGATCGAGGCCCCCAAGTGATGGCGCCGGTGCATCGGTGGCGCGATGTTGGCATTGCCAAAGTGATCGGAGAAGGGGCCGACCAGTGGTCTGGGGACTTCGCCCCTGGCCCTGCGCCGAAGGCCGCGAAGGTTGCCGCGCGGGGCCGGGCCGAGGACAGCTGGGTCAAGAAGACGCGAGACAAAGGGGCCAAGCCCGACGTCTGTAGAGCCATGTTCCGCCGCAACCAGTTTCTTGCAGGGCGCGGCGGTGTGCCGGCGCAACCTCATGCACGCCTTCGTTGCGTCCGACGTCTCCAGTCGATCTGGCGCCGTCCGATCAGACCACGCCTGGACAGGATAATCTTCAAGAGTTAGGGGAGCATTGGATCAAGTGCCAGGCGCGCGCCGGCACTCTGGCCACGGGGCAGAACGCTGTCGTGCACGCGAGAACAAGGTGGCCGCACATAGGCAGAAGGCTGGCAATCCAACGGCAAGAATATTCCCTCCTCGAGCCCGTCGATCGGGACTACTCGCGACCTCAAGATTGCGAAGCAGATGAGCCCTCGAACGGCTAGGGGCAGTGGCTCGCCACATCTGCGCCCTGAGCTGTCCCCGAAGACGAAGATGGAGAACGAGCTGGAGCCGCGCTGGGGGCCGCTGGAATTCGCTGGAAGCAGTCGACGCTGCGGCGGCTGAGCGCAGGGCGCCAGCATGCGCCGACTGCGTCGGCAGTGCCAGTGTTTCTGGCGCTCGCGGCAAACAGGGCGTGAAGCGCCCGTCCTCGGCCGGGGCCTGGGGCCGCCTGCCGACGGCGCGCGCGCCCATTGGAGGCAAGAGGCAGGGGGGCACGAGAGATGAAGGGGCGAGGCGTCCAAAATCGGCAGGCTGTCATGCGTCGCCGAGATGCGGGGCCGACGCCCAGGGAGCTCCCTCCCAGGCCATCGACGTCGGCAGAAGCATCATCGAGTTCCGCCCCGGGCCCCACGACGAGGAAGCCCCAGCATCCGGACTTCCGGATGAGGGCCGCAGAGGAAGAAGATCTGCGCCCTCCGCGGCGCTGGGGCTCGCGGAGCCGGTGGTCGTCTTGGAACTCGGGATGGTGTTCGGGAAGCTGGCGCAGTTGGCGCAGCAGCTGGGGCCGCGAAGATCAGCGGAGCGAAGATTGGCGCTGGTGATGAGAGGAAGGCTAAGGACATGTCGGAGCTGTGCTCTGAGTGTCCTCTGGACGCGTTGGAGCCGTGCTCCGAGCGTTCTGGCGCGGGCCGCCGCGCGGCGGCAGGCCACGATGGCCTCGTGGGCCGATCGAGGGGCGGCGCGCGCCGGCGCCCCTCTGTCTATTTGGGGCTCGCCGGCCTGTTTCGCTTCACCCCCAAGGGCCGAGTCAGGAGTGGTCCCTTCCCTGCCGCGGGCGCCTTAGACAGTTCTTGCGGTTGACGCCGCGGGGGCCGAGCTGCCTTGGGGAAGGGTTTGAATCTGACTTGACTCCCGGGGCGCACCGAACTCGGGCTGGCGCGCCCCGCCGCGACTAGGGGCGCGAGCTGCATGCTGGCGCCCGCTCGCGCGCGGAGTCCCCGCGCCAGGCCGGCCAGGGGGGGGAATTATCAGCTATGCTCCTCTCGCGTGCTCTTTTGCTGCGCCGCTACTATCGTCCAACTGAGGGTTGGCGGCGCCATCTTATAACAAGACATCCTTATTGACATCGATGTTGCTTATAACCTTTTGTGCTTAATTGACAGGTGTTCGCGCGCGCGGCGGGCCTCCCTTCCCTCGGCCGGCTCTGCCGTGCACGTGTATTCCGGTCTCCTAGTACATTTGCTTAGTGGATACTCCTGAGGGTACGCCATGGCATCAAATGCATCCTCTCCGAGACACCTGGGGCCACTACTGCAAGGGGAACCACCAGAGCATTCATAACAAATGCCTATCAATCGGGTCAAGACTATAACCGAACCCTCGACGAGTAGGCAAACTGCTGAGGAAGACAGTGGGGAGAAGGGAGGAGCGAGAACGGGAAGCGGAGGTGCTGGGACAGTCTGGGGCTGGCCACTTCTCGCCCATCGGCGGCTACCACGAGGACACTGAACCAAATCGACGATTCCTGTTTTCCTGCCTCCTTTCCGAGCCCCGCTTCACTCTTCGCTCTGCCCTTTCCCTTCCTTGTCCTCCCCTCCCTGCACCTCCCATTCGCCCCTCTCCCTTCCCGTGCTCCCCTCACCTCGACTCCCCGCACCCCTGTCCCCGTTTCCCTTCTCCTCCTTGTCTCCCGTTTCCCCTCTGCCACTCCCCCTTTCCCCCTCCCTTCCTCTTCCCCTCCACCTTTCCCCCGTCCCCTTTGCTTCTGTCCCTCTCGCTCTCCCTCCCTTTTTCTACCCTCCCTCCCCTTTCCCTCCTCGCTCCTTTTTTCTTTTCCCCTCGCTCCACCTGTCTTTCCCTCATTGTTGTTCTCCCTCCACCTGTTCTTTCCCTCCTGCTTCATCTGCTGTCCCCCTTCGCCTCCCATATTTTTCACAGCTGCATTGCCCCATCCTATCCTCGCATCCTCTCAGCATGCGCTGCTCCCTCCTTTTGTCTACCTTGGGGTCGACAAGAGGTAAAGGTGAGGGGTATTCATAAACTTAGTGGGAAGGGACTGCAGGGGAGACACTGTATCTTCAGCGCCGGAAGGATAGCGATTCCGTGCTCATCATGGATGTGGCCCGGTTCAAGTACCCGCCCCACTGGGCGCGCGTCTCTGACATCGTCAGCGCGATGACCGATGTAGATCCAGACACGGACAGGCTGTGGGGCTCACAAGCGGATGGTGCCGAAATGCGCAAACGGTTTATGCCCCCACACCATTCGCAATCCGACTGCGTACTTACGATCAACATGGCAATGACACCGCCATCACATAACATCAGCTAGCAGGCGTAGGATTGACAAACAGACGGGACGGCGGTGATTATGTAAATTAATCCTCGCATGACTCGTGAGACTCGACCATCGAAACGAAAAGTCAGGCGAGCGGAACGACAGTCAGGAGTTACGGCCTTACGAGCTCTTATTCGTTTTAGTTCGTTGACCAACGCAACACGACTGATACACATATATATATATATACATAGACAGATGCATGCATGTATGTGTATATATATATATATATATAGTGAGGGTTAACAAGACCATCGTACCTGACAGACCGTAGCAAGCACGATGCTCACATCTTTTCAATTCATTCGTTCAACTGGACGGTCGGTCCATTGGCCGTCGAGTCGGTTGTCTTATTCGCTATTGTTTGCCCGCTTTGCCGCCGAATGGGATTCTCATGCATTCGATGTGGGTTCGGCAATATCGGCGATGCGCAGCAGTTTCGACATCTACCTCATGCACTTGTCCGTTTCGTTTCGCCGTTGACTGTCCTGCTCGATCGCTCCTCCTCCTAGGAGATATCGCTTGCGATTTAGGCCTCATCAGACGCATGCACCCAACAGGCTTCGTCTGACTGCTTGGCCACTGTGCATGTGCCTCCCTACGACATGTTGGCTCGTCGTTCCAGGTCTGCCTGACATGTATTTCCTTGCGTTCGTGCTGGCCCCACGGTGGTGGTACAGGTTTGTCTCCGCTTCTCCGCTGGTAGCACAAACCAGCGGCACTTGGCGAAGAGGGCAGAGGATATCATTGCCGTGATCGCCGAGTGATGCTCATCATTGTCATGGCAATTGTAAGCGATATGTAGCGAGAAGACAACAGGCCACGGGGCTACGTCCACCTACGGCTGCGCCGCGAGCACTCCAATGACCAGGCCCTACCGGTGCCCCTGACCATCCCGTACGTGCCAGTCGCTTCTGGCAGCGGGCGCCCCAAAGCCTCCTCCTCCTCCTCTTCCTCCTCCTCCCCCCCCCCGCTTCTCCCGCTCCTGCTGCTGATCCTGCTGCTGACCCGCCCCTCGCGCTACCCTTGTCTGCCCTCCCTCACCTCCGTTCCATTCGCCCCCCCCCCCCCCTGTCATGGCAAGCCAGAGGTATTGATTCCCCCTACACCATACAATGACTGGAAGGAACGAACGCTTTGAGATCATGATCTGGTGGCAGGAAGCGTCGAGGAGGGAATTGGTAGGACACTCGGGCACCAGGCGTAATGGTGAGCTGGAGGGAAAAGAGGAGAACGAGAGGGATATATATATATATATATAGATATAGATATGGCAAGGTTGGGCTTGGGTTGGGTGGGGTGGGGAAACAAGAGGAGGAGAGGAGAGGAAGAGGAAAGAGCGTGGGCCTGGTGGGTGGGCGAAGCGAGGGGGCAGGCGGTGGGTAGGAGGCAGGAAGGATGCGTGGGGAGGACCAGCTGGGAGGCGGCAGGAAGGAGTGAGGGAAATTCGGCGGAGAGGGGAGGGGGAAACAATGGCTCTGAACCGGAGCCGCTGGGTCGAGGACGCTCCTGGCTCGGCCCGCTCAGGCAAGAAGCTGTCCGAGGGCTTGGCCGCCGCTCTGGAGGCGCCGTGCCCGCTGCTGGAGGAGCAGGGGCCTGATGGTGCTGCGGCCATGGCCGTGCGCAGGTGGGAGAGCCCCTCCCCCCACACACCGAGCCACACTGCTGCTCTCCCGTCCCCCCTCGTCCCCTCGTCCTCCTCCTCCTCGTCCTCCTCCTCCTCGTCCTCCGCCTCCTCCTTCTCCTCCTCTTCCTCCTCCTCCTCCTCCTCCTCCTCCTCCTCCTCTTCCTCTTCATCGTCGTCCTCCTCCTCCTCGTCCTTCCTGTGTTGAGCCGCTTGGAGGCGCTAGTGAAACTGCGCCCGGTTTTTGCTGCCGCCGAGCGCCTGGCAGCCTTCACGCTCCAGACCGCTAAGACAGTGGTGGTCCCGCTCTGGTGTGCGGTCACTTTGGAGCGAGATTGGAGATCTCGGAAATGACACGGCGGCTGGTTCCAGATGGGTCAGGGTTTGAGGTCGCGGAGCGTGCTCGTTATCTTGGCGTCTTGTTAGGTCCAGGAGCCACAAACCTTGACCAATGGAAAGCCACACATCAGAAATGGTTAGAGCGTGCCTACATCATCCCCTCCACCCGTACTCCGGCAGATGCCTCCCTCCGCTCCTATTCCACTCTCGCGCTGTCTGTCCTCTCCCACTTAGCCCAGTTTTTCAGGCCTCTCGATTCCATGCTCGATCGCGGGCGACTTTCGCTGCACCGTGCCCTCCGCCTCCCCCCGACTTCTTTCGATGGTCCCACCCTTCGCTCCGTCACGACGTGGGTGCCCGGCGGGCGTCACCAGCCGCTGGCAGCTTGGAGCCAGGCTCACCTCTGACGAGCTGGCGGCTTCACTGCGCAGGACCGGGCCCCTGGCTCGAGCAGCTCCGCGCCAGCGCGGAAGATGCCGCAGGCGTAGCTGCGATCATCGGGGGAGAGTGGTCCACCCCGCTCTGGAAGGAGCCCACGGCGATGGTGCAAAGGCGGGCAGACGCTGCAGGAAGCGTGCCATGGTTCAAGCTGTCGCGCTCTCGCCTGCTGGCCGCCAGCCAGTCCGCGACCCGCCGATGCAATGCTGCCGCCGCCGCACGCGCTGGAGCCCCAGAGCACGGAAGCAGAAACCGACCCAGTTCGTCTCAAGTGGGTCGGTTTTCCGGCGGGCAAGGGGCCCGTCGAGTCCGTCCTCGAGGCCTCTACCTCTCCTCGTTGATTACCTCCTCCTACCTCGACTCCATGCCCCTCCTCCTTCAGCGCAGGCTTGACGAGCGGTTCGGAGTGCCAGCAGCCCCGCCACGAGCGGAGCTGCAGCGCTCGTGGCCAGAACTTTACAAGGCGAGCGTGGGCGGGTGGACGACCACGCACAGGGTCAAGGTCGAGTGCCCCAGGACCTACCTTTTTGATTCTGACCATTGCCCTGACTCTTTCCCGTACCACCTCACCTGTCCTCGCCTCCTCGGGTCCATGTCCCTCGTTCGCTCTCCTCTCCCCTCCGATCCCATTGTTCGCATTGGGTTGGCGCTTCCTGATTTGTATACAGCCCAGTTAGCACGTTGATCTGCCCACGCGTACTGGGTCCGGCACGCAGCTTCCCCTCCTCAGACCAACTCCGCATACATTCACTCACTTCGAGCAGCTCAGGCTGCCATCAGCATGTAACTGAGATCGGCACCTGCTGCGCCTCGTGCTACTTGCGCTCTTCCTCCTCCTCCTCCTCCGTAGCGATTTTGGCTCAAGATGATGAGCACCCCGTGGATCGGAGTGGAGACCTCTGATCCGAGGCGGGCAAGGTAAGTCTGCCTGGCAGTCTCTGTCGGCCTTCTCTGTGGGAACTGGGCCCCCGCCACCCAGCTGCTCGCACCTCTCAAGCTCCCTGCCGCGCAGTCGCGCCCGCGGGCAAACTGCGGAATCCCCAGGTCCTGCCTGCGTGACTGCGGGTGCCATGCCGTCCTCCGACAGCTCGAGGGGCAGCAGCGACCACGCGGGGCCCGACCACAGTCACAGTCGCAGTGGGCGCAGTGCTGGTGATAACACTGCCTGCTGGCCATCCGCAGCGCCGACGCCGTGAGCGCGAGCATGCCGATGGCCGCCGCCCTCGCGCCGACCGCCGCAGGCCACGGAGCGCCCCGCGCGGCGAGGCGCGTCCCGCTCGTGCCGCCGCCGCCGCCGCCTCGGACGCCATGGTCAACGACGGCTCCCTCCTCGTGGATCTGCGTGGGTCGAGGCACCGACAGCGCAGGGGTAAGCAGCGGACGGGGAGCGGTGACACGGGGGCTGTCGGGGGGGAAGAGAAGGGGGGAGACCGTAGCGGCGCTAGCCTATTCTCAGGAGGAGGAGGAGGAGGAGGAGGAGGAGGAGGAGGAGGAGGAGGAGGAGGAGGAGGAGGAGGAGGAGGAGGAGGAGGCGGCCCCCACTTTTCCCCAGCCAGGAGTTGCGTGGCCCTGCAGCTGCTGCTCGGTCAGCGGCTCCCGCGGCTCCCCCTGCGGGACCGGACCCATGGCGGGCCCCCGGCGGCGCTGCCCCGTGGCGTGGGCCCTCCGTCGCCCCGGACATGGAGACGCAGTTCGAGCATCTCTTCGAGTCCTAGCTCTCGTCAGCAAACGCCCAGCTGCAGAAAGTTTGTGAAGACACTCTCCGGAAGGCTCAGACTGACTTCGTGGCGACTGTGCGGACATGTATTGCCCAGGTCCAGCAGACCAACCAGCGCATCGATCACCAGGCTCACCACGTCGCCGTCATCCGGCAACGTCGGGCCAAGATGGAGAAGGAGCAAGATCGTGTCAAAGATGCTGTCGCGACGCTGGAGCACACACTGGCCTCCGCCGAAGCCGACGCCTCGGCGTTCGACACCGCCAAGCTGGCCGAATGCGAACGGCCCGCGCACCCGACCCTGTTCTCGATCGGCTCGCCCTCTGCGATCTCACCGGGGGAGGTCAGGTGCAGCATCCTGCTGTGGCTCCAGGGCGCAGGGAGGTCAAGTTTATCCAGGCGCTTCCTCCTCCGTACCGTTGGCTCCGACGAGGTTGCCAGGCCTCGTGCGATTGCTCTGGCCCGGCAGCTTCGCGGTCCTGGAGGGCGGCGCTCGTTCAGTGCCCCCAACACCCAGGGCGCCCAGACCCCTCTCTACAACAGCCCAGGCAAGTCCCCTAAGGTTGTCAGGCTTGAGATCCACACCAAGAAGGCCGCAAGAGTCCTGTCCGAGCATCGTGCGCAGCATCGCTTTACGTGCCAGCGCCACAAAAGTATGGTCTTCGTCAACAATGCGGCCCTGCTCGCCGTCGCGGTCGACGACATCAATGATCCGACCAAGCTTGTCTGACATGCGCCCGCGGTGGTGCAGTTTGACATCGACAAGTCTGTCGCCGCCGAGGCCTCTGCCCGCCTCGCCGACGTTGTGGACGCATCGGTGGACGCGTCCAGCCCCTACAAATCACTGATCCTCGCACTTGATGCTCGATGACCATCATGAACGTGCACAGTTACGAGCACCCTCAATATGCTCTGCAGTCGGGGCCCTGAAGAAGGAACCCTTTTCGTTGGGGAGGGGCTCCGTGTTCCTCGATTGCTTCACAGTTTGCCTTGGGTTTTGCTTTGGTTTTCGATGGGTTATGGAAAAAAGGGGCCTCGTTCCTCATTTAGCGTTCCTTAGGTCAACGCCCCGACTGTACCTGGAATTCGCCATCGCTGGCGCCAGCGGCCGTCGCGGCGCCGCGCGGGCCCGCTCGTGAACGCCTCTCGCGGCGCCGGGTGCCGCCCCCGCCAGCCATGGGAACGTCGCGGGCGCCGCCCCCTGCCAGCCATGGGCATTTCGAGCCTGGCGCTGCCAGACCTGCCCTGGACACCCATGCGTCCCCGCCCACTGGAATCTTGGCGCCCGCTCGTGCATTCCTGCCCGCGCGCTGCGATCGCCGGCGCTCGGCTGTCGCGGCCTTGGATCGCGTCTCCCGCGGGGCGCCCTCGGAATTCATGTTCGAGGTTGACGCTTCGATGGAAGCTCGTGCCGACCCGTGCCAGATGTCGAGCGCCCGTCTGAGCGACTACGCGTTGGTTTTGCTTAGGTTTCCGAACCTTGGACGCGGGTCGGAGACTGAATTTTGCATTCCGGATTTCATTTTTTACTGCTTTCCGTCATCGTGACAAGCTTGATCTCCCATGCAGGTTGTCGACAGTTCGCATCTCCACGCAGCCTTGCGATGGAAATCCTTGAAGGCATACGCGTGAGAGGCTTCGCGCGAGGCGCGTTCGATTGCGTTCGCCAGCCGAGTGATGTCAGACCGCTCTCCCCTCGCAACGCTCATTCGAAAATCGCCGCCAGTGCCTTTAATTTTCTGCCCCGCAGTAGGGCGCCCCAAATAGTTCATCCCAATCAGCGTGGCTTTGTCGCAGGCAGGAACTTCATTCGCAACGTGGTCCACGTGGGCGCTGGCGCCCGTGCCCTTAGCGCTGAGCCGCATGGTGGCAGCGACGTGCGCTGTTTCGTTTCGTTCGACATTGCCGCCGTTCTCCCGCCCGTGGCGCGCTGCTGGCTTTTCGAAATTTTACGTCGCTAAGGCATGCCGCAGGGATGTCTCAACTTCCTCCATTCGCTCTACTTCGCCCCCGGAGGCTACGGCAGATTCGGCGCCTTGCGTTTGTAGTGGAGTGCTCCAGGGTTGTCACCTTTCGGGCACCGCGTGGGCGATGATTTTCGGTTTTGTTTAGAGGTTGCTTTCGGGCGCGGTTGAAATACCGCTTAATTGGAACACCCCTGGAGAGCTCGGAGGTTGCGCCGACGACGTCGGCACCCTGCTTCCGCAGCTCGGCGCGCTTCCAGCTCTAGCCCCGCATTCTGCAAACTTCGAGCGGCGTGCACGCCTCAGGCTTCAGGCTTCCAAATGCTACATCGTCCCTCTCTGGTCCGACTGCTCAGACACCGTGGTGCACGACGTCCACTCGTTGCTGGGGGCAGATGCGCCAGCCTTTCCACGCGCTGACAATCAGCCCGCCACTGCGCACCTCGGGGTGCAGTTCGGCCCTGGAAGTGGCATTTCCGAGCAATGGCAGGCTGCGTCTCAAGAGTGGTGGCAGCGCGCGATCGAGCTCCCATCGTCTCGCGCCGTCGCCACTCTTCTAATGTTTCAATACCAAATGCATGCAGTCAGTGCGCTCGGCTACCCGTGCCAATTCTTCCCGGCGTCGCCGCTCGCCCTGTCTCGCGAGGCTCTCGCGATCCACGAGCGCTGCGTCTCCCGCCTAACGCTGCCTCTCGTGCTGATCTCTTCCCCCTCTCATGGGTTGGCCTTGCTCCCCGTTCGCTCGTTATCCTGGCCATCCCCTCTGCCTGGCGCGCTGCCGCCGTCGCCGCCCCCGACCGGCGCTCGGCCATCGACGCTGCTCGCTTCTGTCTAGTCTAGGTACGTCAAGCGTGGAGGTGGGCTTGCATCGAGAGCCTCTGCGGGGGCTGGACCACTAGTATCCCGCGCGCGTGTCTCTCGGCACTCTCGCGATTACATCTTCGGGCGCGGTGGATCGGACTCGGTGCCTCGCTACTTCCTGCGCCCCGCCTTCGACACCGCGTCGCTTTGCGCTGGGTCCGGCTCGTCTTTGCTTCGGATCCTCTCCTCTGGCTTGTCCTCGGGAGCCCCTCGGATTACGGGTCGGGAGATTGTGGTATCTCGGGGCTCTGGGCTGTTGAGGCCACGGTCTTAGCTTTTCACGCATGCCATAAAGCGAGGACCTGATCCCCACCCACTCTTGCCACGCGTGCGCATCAGCCACGCGAGTCGCCACTGCTGGTGGGCTTGCCATGCAGGCCTAGTTGACGTGGGGCTCGCCCTCTGGGTGCGTTCACTCCTCCTACTCCTCCTCTCCGTTCTCCTCCCCCTTCTCCTGCTCCTCCCCCCTCCGCCGCCATCCGGTCCCCCCCGCCCGCGGCCTTTCCCAGTCAGGCTGCAGGGCTTCTCTGGGCCCTCAGGAAGATGAAGATGAGGGACAGGGCGGGAGAGCGAGGTGAATGAACGGATGAGAGGGGGGAGATATGTGTGTGTATATATATATATATATATATTCTCATACGCACCTCTCCGAGGGAGTAGAGCTCAGAGGCGATTAATGCGTACGCGGGGCGCCGCGTCCGCGATTTTTCTGGCCGTTTCGCTAGGGACATCCTCGAAATTCTGAAAATCGGTGGCACCCCTCACGCAGATCGTGACGTCAGGGTCCAAAAACACATGGGCATTTCAACATTTTAACATAAAACCTTCAAGCACAAATGGTAATTTCCATAATTTTGGCCCCGATTCTTACAGAATGGCGGTTTCGCCTGAAACATCCTCCCAACCTCGAGCCCCGACGTACCCTCTGGTACCCCAGACCCCGCCTCGGAGCCTCCTGGGGGCCTCCTGGAACCTCCTGGGGCCTCCTGGGGCTTTCTGAACCTTCTGGTACCCCAGACCCCGCCTCGGAGCCTCCTGGGGGTCTCCTGAAACCTCCTGGGGCCTCCTGGGGCCTCCTGCGGCCTCCTGCGGCCTCTTGGGGCCTCCTGAAGCCTCCTGGGGTCTCCCGGGGCCTCCTGAGGCCGCCTGGGGCCTCCTGGGGCCTCAGAACTACATGCACACACAGAGACACAAATCACGCTCAACACATCACACGCTAGACAAACATAACACACAACACCTACAACGCACAAAAAGCACGCACAACACAGAACACACATCACACACACACACACACCCACACAACACTCACAATCCTGGGGCCTCCTGGAGCCTCTTCTGGTATCCAAGTCGGGCCTCCTGAGGCTTCCTGGGGGGCCTGGTACACACATCACAAGGTGTGGCAATCCCACTTGCGCTCGAGTGAGACTTCGCTGTTGCATTTCACTCCTGCTTCAAACGCCCCTTCAGTTTTTCGTATGAACCTGGGCACACACGTGCCACTTGTGTGTATATATGTATGCATACATTTGTAGTAGGGGAGAGAACACACACATATAGATAGACAGAGAAAAGGTACACAACTACATATATATATATAACAAAGACAGAGAGAGAGACAGGGATAACAACACAAACTGGAAATAATGAACACACATATATATATGTTTATATATATGTATATACATTCATATACATATACATATTCAGAGACAGAGAGATAAGAGACATAGGGAGAGGGAGAGGGGAGAGAGAGAGAGACAGAGAGAAAGAAAGATATATATATATATATAAAGAGAGAGAGAGAGAGAGAGAGAGAGAGGGGACAAGAGAGAGGGAAAGAGAGAGAGAGAGAGAAGCAGAGAGAGAGAGAGAGAGAACAAGAACACGAGCGGACCACTCACACAGGAGTCCCGTCGACGGCTGGTCACCGCGGTAGCCGCGGCCGCCAGCGCACTCCTGGCGGCGGTGGCGCGCCTGGAAAGCACGCGGGGCGTTGCAGCCACCCCGCGCCCTGGCGCGAAGCGGCCGAGGCACAGGCGGCGGGGGGCGCCGCGCAGGCGGCGGGCCGAGGCTTTCGGCGCCCCGCGAGGGGGAAAAGATTGCAAAAAACCCTTGTCTGCAAAAAACACCCAGATCTCCTCCTCCTCCTCCTCCCCCTCCTCCTCCTCCTCCTCCTCCTCCTCCTCCTCCTCCTCCTCCCCCCCTCCTCCTCTTCCTGGTCGAAGAAAGTTTTTTTTCAAAAAAAAGGCCCAGGTCGGCGGAGCTCCGATGGGCGGCCTGGCCGCGAGCCGTGGCCCGATGGAGCGCACGGCCTGAGGACGTGTCTTGCTCGCCCTGTGTTGCGTTCGCGGGGCGAAAATGGGGGGGATTGGGAAAGGGGGGGTCGCGAAATCTGCGGCATGCAGCTGGTTTCGGCCTCGCCGAGGGGCCCCTTCCTCGATACGTAGCCGCCTCCGGCGCCGGGGGGCTCCGGGAAGATCAGCTGCGTGAGCCGATTCTCAACCCCCCTTTGCTGTCCCCCCTTTCGCCCGACCCGAGTACTCTGACTCCGGATCCGCCCTACTTTGGCTTTTTTTCCTACTTAAAATTGCGTCGGAAATCCACCTATAAGAGGCCGAAAAAGTAGGGCGGAAATTGCTGCACCCAACATAAAAGTAGGGCGGAAATCCACAGAAACAGCAACAGAAAAGTAGGGCGGACATTGGCATCAGCGGGGCTTGAAAAGTAAGGCGGAAATTCCAAGCCCTACTTACGAATTTCCCCAAAGTAGGGCGGATCCGGAGTCAGGGTACTGCGTTCGCAGGGCCGGCAGCGGCGGGCGAGGTCGCGCCGAGGAAGGGCGCGGCGAGCTGCGCGGGGGCCGCGCGCAGGGCGGGCGCGGCCCGTTTTGGGGAAGGGCGCGGCCCGCCGCGCCTGCGGTGCCGAGGGCGCCCCCGGCGTGCAGGTGTGGGTGCTGCCGACGAGCGCGAGGGGCTGGTCGGCCACCGAGCTGGCGCGGCGGCCGAGGGGGAAGCTTCCCAGACCCCCTCGCGGGGTGACAGAAATCACGGCGGGGGGTTTTTAGACATTTTCGGCTTCTGGGGGCCCTTGCCGGGCCTCGGGGCCGTCAAAACACGATGCAGAACGAGAAACCGGTCCCGTGGAATGGGTCGGGACCTCCCCAGACCCCCGACGTAATGAATTTTTCATTACGTCGACCCCAGAGTTCTCGACCCCTTCCCCAGGACGGGCTTGTCATCCTGAGTTGTTTTTTGACGCTCCCGAGGCCCGGTGAGGGCCCCCAGAGGCCGAAAATGGCGAAAAACCTCCCGTCATGATTTTCTCGTTACTCGAGGGGGTCTGGGTCTGGGGGTCGCGTCATGAAGAAATCATGACGTCGGGGGTCTGGGTTTGGAGCCCGAGAGGCGAGGCCCAGGGCCCAGAAGACCGCGGAGGGCGAGGCCGCGTCGACGGACCAGAGCAGGCTGCCGGGGATCCCCGGGATCACAGGCGAAGCGCGCGCAGAGGCAGCCGATGTTTTCGCGGATGCTGGGGGCGGCCTTGTGAAAGAGCGACGGGGCGCGGGTGACAAAGTGCAGCGGGTTGCTGCTGTCGATCTTCGGGGCCCGGCTGGCCGCTGCAGCGGCGCGGCGGCCGCGTGGATGCACAAGAACGCGTAGCTCCTGCAGGTAGCCCCGAAGACGTTACACGTTGTTCCGGAGATCCTGAAGGGCGCCCGAGGAATGAGAGGGGCGTGAGGTGGGACAAGACGGGCATGTTCATCCAGGATGGGAACGCAGAAGACGCAATCATCGTGATGAGCAATCAGAGCCTGAGCTTCTCAGGACGTGGCCGTCGGGGCGGCGGCTGTGCTGCATGGGAGCCAGTTGGCTCCCTTCGGAGGGCACCAACTATACACCAACACCGATCCTGGCCAGGATCGGTGTTGGTGTATAGTTGGTGCCTTCCTATCCCTCCAGGCTCTTGTCCGTCTCGCGGCTGAGGATGCGGGCCGTGACGAGGTCACCGCGCGGTGTGCGAGCACCGGGGCGGCGGCGCAGGCCACTGCGGCGGGTAACGGGGGGGGGAAGTGACGCGAGTTGGTCTTGGGGTAACGGCCCCAGTTGCAGTCTCGCCGTGCTGGGAGGCGCGAAAGATCTAGTGTCCTGGCCACGCTCTGTTCCAGAGAGAGAGAGAGAAAGTGAGAGGGATAGAGACAATCAGAGACAGCGAGAGAGAGAGAGAGAAGCAACAACACACACACACACACATATATATATATAGAGAGAGAGAGAGAGAGAGAGAGAAAAAAGAGAGAGAGAGAGAGGGAGAGAGAGAGGGGGATAAACATATATATATAGAGAGAGAGAGAGAGAGAGAGAGAGAGCGAGAGAAGGAGAGAGAGAGAGAGAGAGAAACATAGAGACATAGAGAGAGAGAGAGTGATATGGAGGGACGGGGATTAAGGGAGGCGGAGGAGGTGGAGGAGGAGGAGGAGGAGGAGGGGGAGGAGGAGGAGGAGGAGGAGGAGGAGGGGGAGGAGGAGGGGGAGGAGGAGCGAACCTCCTTTCCCACCCTTCCTGCCACTCGGCGAGTGCGGGCACGTAGATTTGGCCCCCCAGGTGGGTGCATGCAGTCGTGGCCGCCGAGCCGCGCGTGCTGAGCCGACTGCTGCAGGTTTTTATTTTTCCCCGCATCCGTATCATTCATTCTTGTCTTCTGCTTTGTTGCCCGAGCCGTCTTACTTATACTCGATTCCGCCTGCATTTTCGCCTTCGTTTCATTGGTCGTTGTCTCCCTTGTAGCCGTAGCCGCCACCTTCTCCTTTTATACGCTGTGCTTGACATTGCGTTCGTCTTCTCGCTACTATTACGAATCGTTCCACGCTGTTGTGTTATGCCACTGTCGCATGCGTCGCTGTCATCTACATTGTGTGTCTCGGCCATCTTTTTTGCAGTCACCTCATCATGCTCACTGCTTCCGATATTTGCTAAGTTGTGTCAGTGGCATTCCTCGTTGTATTCTTCGTGCCGATCTGCCTCTGCCCGCGCTCCCCCGCGCAATCGTGCTGGATCGTGCTGGCGCTGCCCTGGCCGATTCTGTCGGTTCCTGACTGGCCGCCAGCCCTTGAACGAAGGATTGCAAAAAAAAACAAGGATTGCAAAACAACCAAGGATTGCAAAAAAACCCTGCATTGCAAAAGGTTTTTTTTGCAATCCTTCGGGTTTGTTTTGCAATCCTTCGTTTTTTTTTGCAATCCTTCGATCGCCCCTGGCCTGGGCCCTCCGCCACCGCCTCCATTTTTTTGTTCGGCGCGATCCCGGGCTGTTGCCAGCCACGAGAATTCCGTCGCGCGCCTCTCTCCTCTCTTGCCCCAGGCCCCGGTGCTTGCGTTCTGCACCTGAGGTGGACACGGCAATGGAACATCAACGCTCGGGCAGTTGGGTGATCTTGGCGGGGATCGTCTCTTGTTGTCCTGGCGTGGCCCAGTCATGGACCGCCACGAATCGGACAAGAGAGCGGGAACGAAGGGGGCAGGGAGGGAGGGATGTGGGAGTGGAGTGGAGGGGAGTCATGGCGCGGACCGCTGCGCCAGGTCGGTGATGAGGCCGCCCTGCGCGAAGTGCTCACGCGCCTCAGCTCGTTCCAGTTGTTCGGCGACTTGTGCGCTGCTTACGCCAGGTTTCCGGACGCCGCTTGCAAGAGGGCTGTAAGGAGGCGGAGGGAAGAGGAGAGGAGAGAAGGGAAGAGAAAAGGGATGAAGGAATGAGGACGGAGGAGGGAAGAGGGAGGATGAGGCGGAGGAGTGATGATACACTCTGGCAGGGGTTGGAAGTGTGGAAGGGGAGGAGAAGGACGCGGAGAAGGTTGGTGCTGCACTGGCTGAGCCGCTGGACTCATCCTCCGATCCGTATGATATCCCAGCCTTGCGTGGCGGAGGACGCCCGAGGTGAATCTGGCCTGGAGCCAGCAGACCATGACCCCAGCAGAATGCGATGACGAGGGTGAAAATGATGATGATGATGATGATGATGATGCTGATGCTGATGATGCTGCTGATGATGAAGAAGAAGAAGATGATGATGATGATGATGATGATTATGATGATGATGATGATGATGATAATGATGCTGATGATGCTGATGCTGCTGATGCTGCTGATGATGCTGATGATGATGATGATGCTGCTGATGATGATGATACTGATGATGATGATGATGATGATGATGATGATGATGATGATGATGATGATGATGATGATGATGATGATGATGATGATGATGATGATGGCGGTGTCAGTCTGGAGGTGGAGGAGGAGCAGCAAGAGCAGGAGCAGCAGGAGCAGAAGCAGGAGCCAGAGAAGGAGCAGGAGCAGGAGCAGGAGGAGGAGCACGCGACGGAGGAGCGCATTCAGAGAGAGAAGTCGAACGACGACGTCGTCGTCGTCGTCGTCCGACGGCCTATCCGCCCCACGGAGGCTCCAGGCGAGCGCCGACGAGGGCCTCGGGGCTGATTTCCCACCGCTGCGATTCCTGGCGGCGCCGGGCGGGGAGGCCCCCGTGGTGCCGTGGCCGCCCGTGTCGGCAGCCACCGCTGACGAGGATCCCGCCGCGAGCCGTCGTGGCAGTTACCGGCGTGGTGTTCGCCGCCGCTGCCGCTTCTAAACGCTGCCGCTGGTCGTCGCTGGTCGTCGTCGTCGTCGTCGTCGTCGTTGTCGTCGTCGTCGCCGCCGCCGTCGTCGTCGTCGTCGTCGTCGTCGTCGTCGTCGTCGTCGTCGTCGTCGTCGTCGTCGTCGTCGTCGTCGCTAGTCGTCCTAGTCGTCGTCGTCGTCGTCGTCGTCGTCGTCGTCGTCGTCGCTGGTCGCCGTCGTCGTCGCTGGTCGTCGCCCCTGCTGCCACTGCGAAGAGGGGGGACGGGGAGGAGGAGGGGCCTGCCCATGGGGCGAGGGCTGGGCGAGGCGTCGGAGGGGCAGGGGGGCCATAGGAGGGCGGAGCGCCCCCCTTTGGAGGGCGGAGGACCTGGCCAGCTGCGGCCTGGGGCCCGGCGGCTGCGGGGAGCTCTGGGTGCTCCTGCTCCTGCTCCTGCCGGAGCACCTGCGCGCGGCGGTGCCGCGCCCAGGCGGCCTCGGGCCCACGCCGCCCGGGGTGCCCGGCCCTCCCCGCCTCCCTGCCCTGCCTTGCGGTGTCGTCTCCCCCTCCGCCTCCTCCTCCTCCTCCTCCTTCCTCCTCCTCCTCCTTCCTCCTCCTCCCTCCTCCTCCTCCTCCTCCTCCTCCTCCTCCTCCTCCTCCTCCTTCTTCCTCCTCCTCCACCATCCCTGCCTGCCTCAGCGGCGTGCAGGCCGCTCTCCGAGGAGGTCTCGGGCGGCCGCTCCGTCTCGAGAAGGAGCCACCGTGGATCGCGGCGGCGCTCGCGCGTTGGGTTTCGGGGTCCCTCGGCGATCGCTCGCCGCTGGGCGTCGTGGGGCCGTCGCAGTGCAGCCTCGCCGCGTCGCCGCAGCCTGCCGACGATGCTGCGATGGTGCACCCGGGTGTCCTCCATCCTGCTGAGCGCTGCATGACAACAGCGAACGTTCGTGGCGCTGGGGCGAGGGCCCCATTTGGAGAAGGAGCCGCCCCCCCCATCCGTGGAGCGAGTGGGATCTGGGGATTTGTTTCGGCGAATGGGCGCGGCGCTGAGGCGGGAGTACCAATTTTGGAACGACCACCCAGTCCATCCGTGAAAATGTTTGACACGTTCAATGCGAATGTGCGCGGCGCTGAGGCCGGAGCCACGTTTTGAACACGCACCCCACCACCCCACCACCATTCGTGAAGCTGCCGCAGACTCTGAAAGCGAATGTGCGCAGCGCTGAGGCCAGAGCCGCAGTTTGAAAACACACACCCACACCTCCATTCGTGTCCTCCTCCTCCTCCTCCTCCTCCTGGCCACAAACTGTCAGGCGAATGTGCGCGGCGCTGATGCGAGGACACCATCTCAGAACGGCCACCTCCTCGATCCGTGAAACTGTTGGAAGCGTCCAGCGCGAATGCGCACGGCGCCTGCTGAGGCCATAACCGAATTTCGGAAAACACGCCCCACCTTCATTCGTGAAGCTCCTGCGGACTTCTAATACGAATGTGTGCGACGCCAAGGCGAGAGCCCACTTCTCAAAACGACCCTCTCCCCATCCGTGAAACTGTAGCAAACTTGTCAGACGAACGTTCGACGCGCTCAGGCGAGAGCCACATTTTCGAAAACGCCCCCCCTTCCTTCCATAAAGCTGCAATCGTTTAAGACGCGGGCGCTAATGCGAGATCAGAATTTCGAAACGATCCCACTCCATCTGTGAAATGGCTTTGCACATGTCAAGCTTCAGGATCACGAGTGGCGAGGAAGTCTCAGGCGTAAGGCTCAGCACGCCTACCGACACACCTAGGGGTGCGATAGAGAGGAGTTATTCCAACAAACGGTGTTTGCATTGAGGTTCTAAACATTTGTTTAATAAGTAGGTGGGTGGGTAACCAGAGTTTTTTGTTGGTGGCCGCCCCGTGGCTGTCCGTGGCCGCCAACGTAGCTTGCATCACAGATATTGCACCATATAGCCGATCAGCCCCGCGACTCATGCCTGAACCTCCCAGCCCCCTGGCCGGATTTCTTTTCTTCTTTCCGCGGGGGGTCAATTTTCGCGGCGACCCGTTAAACCCGGGACCCTTGGCGGCGCATGGATTTCTTTCCTTCTTCCGCGCGCGAGTTCCAATTGGAACCCCTAAACCCGTCCAGCTACTGTACAATTCGTATTTAAGTACGATTAGTACTATCATGTACTAGAGCGCAGCTGCTCCTAGAGAGCACATTGTCTTGCCGTGCAAGTATTAGAGTGCAACTGGTATCATATTCCAACTGGTAGAACTGTGCGCCCTAGTACAACTCCCTAGTGCTAGGACAACTCCCTGGTACAATTCCCCAGTACCGCGTTCCAATGCCGTTGCATCCTTCTTATACAGGTTGGCTGTAGTGCAATTCCAGTAGTGCAACTCCCTGCACAATTCCCTTAGTACTGGTCCAACTCCCTAATACAACTCCCAGGACTCCTTGGTACAACCCTTTTTACTGGCACAACTCCCTAGTGCAACCACTATTAGAATGTTGCTGCAGTGCGCTGACAATCTGGGCTCTCACGCTTTTCCTCCTCTGGTTGCGCTGGGGAGGGGTGGGACCCCTCGCGCGGGCAACCCCGCGGCTGAGAATTCATTCCTCCTCCGGAATTTGAGGCGGGGGTAACCCCCGTGCTCAAACCCCTCGCCCGGGATTTTTTCCTCCGCGGAAGCTGGACCCCCTGGGTTCCTTGGCGCGCCCCAGAAGTTCTTTCCTTGTCGATGGGCCCCCATGGGTCTTTTGTTGGAAACGCGGGGCTGATCGTAGCCTGCATCGCACAGCGTGCACCATGTTGATTGCACCACGGAGCTTGCACCACATTGCTTGCAAGATGCAGTTTGCACCTCTCTGATCGCATCACACCCACATCCGTTGCACCACGTAGCGTGCACCACATAGCTTGCGCCTCGGAAATGTCAACACGCAGATTGCCCAATCTAGCTTGCACCACATAACTTGCGCCACACAGCTTGCACCACGCAGCTTACACCACATAGGTTATACTACTCGCTAGCACTACACAGCTTGCACCGCATAGCTTGCACCATGCAGACTGTACCATCTAGATTGCGCCACGTAGCGTGCACCACAAAACTTGCACCACATGGCTTGCACCACATGGTCGCGCCAGATGGCTTACACACCGGCAGTGCAACAACTGATTATTCGAGGTCAGCGTTGGCTAAACTGTGTGGAAAAAGGATGGAGGAGGATGATGATGAGGAGGAGGAGGAGGAGAAGACACACTAGAAAGAGGATGGCAAGCAGGAGTGATGGCGAGGATGAGGAGGACCTGTGCAAACCCAAGACGCACCAACGATGTCGCAATCCACCCTCCTAAATTCCTTTCTTGATCGGTCCCTAAGAGAAGTAATTTTCATTGAAGGACGTGGCCCGTCGAGCGAAAATCGTCAAAAGAATTCACACATGAAGGATTTCATGCCCCCAGGCCTTTAAAAAAGGGGGGCGCCTCGCTAGGAGCAGAGAAGACACCATAGAAGTATTGTCCCATGGTTTAAATTTGATTATTTTCGGGCGCATGTCAGTTAGCCAAATTTGCTGTGAATCAGAGACTGTGTAAGCACACCTTTCTTGGGATTCCAAGGCCGCGAATCAACGTGTGTGTGGTGTTTTTGAAAATGCTGAATGGGGCCATAACGCTGTGTTTGGGACAAGACCGCGAATCCACGTAACTGCTGCGTCCTGTCAATCCTGAATCGTGCCAGATCGCCATTCCTGTGACTTCAAAGGTTTCTATTCTTGCAGTTGCTGTGAGCTTTGAAGTCGAACGTGCGCGGCGCTAAAGCTTACTTCTGCAAAGGAATGCGCGGAGGGCTGAGGCGACGGCCACATTTGTAAACGACCCGCCTTCCGTCGTTGAATTTGTGGTGAGCTCAAGACGCATGCGTGAGGCGCCAAGGCGAGAGCCACGTTTTGAAAACGTCCGGCCTCCTATCCTGGAAGCTGCTGCAATCTTCAGTATCCAGTAGGGGGCCACAAGCGAACCCTACCCCTACCCCCCACGATTTCTGAGGGGGAGGGTGGGGTTCGCTTCGCTCGTGGCCTCCCGAATGAAAGTGAACCCCACCCTCCCCCTCAGAAATCGTGGGGGGTAGGAGTAGGGTTCGCATGTGGCCCCCTATCCAGGATCGGCAGTGGTGAGGAAGTTTCAGGCGAAGCGCCCGGCAGGCCTGCGGATGCGCCTGGGGCTGCAACAGGGAGGAGTCATGTAGAGAGAAGAGGGATGGACGAAGGAGGAGGGAGGAGGAGGAGGAGGAGGAGGGGGAGGACGAGGAGGAGGGGGAGGAGAAGGATGAGGAGGAGGAGGACGAGGAGGAAGAGGAGGAGGAGGAGGAGGAGGACGAGGAGGAGGAAAAGGAGGAGGACGAGGAGGAGGAGGAGGAGGAGGAGGAGGAAGAGGAGGATGAAGAGGAGGAGGAGGAGGAGGAGGAAGGTCGCCAACGAGGCCCCGAGCCAACCCCAACAGCAGGAGCCGACGGATGTCTGCGTGATCGGGCAAGGGGAGACCGAACAGACGTGCAAAAGCATTGAGTGTCACGACGGGGCAGAGCGGAAGTAAAGTGGAGACAAAGAAGCGCAGTCCGAGAAACCAAACTGCAAAATCGGCAGCGATATTGTGAGATGCGCGGGAATGTGGCGCTCCACGTTCTGACTGCGCGTTTCTTTGCGTCGATGGCGTGGGCTCAAGAACGCTGGGAATCGTCGTTGTGGCCACACAGCGCGGCTTACAGCGGCACCCGTTGTTCATCTGCGACTACAACCTGAACGCGCGCGTAGCACGCGCTTGGTTTTAATATATATATATATATATACACATGTATGTATGTATGTAATATATTATATATATATATATATATATATATATATATATATATATATCTGTATATGTATATATATATATATATATATATATATATCGGGGTAGGCCAGGGGGTGGGGCCCGGCCGGTGCCGCCATCCTCCACGGGCGCCCCCTGGGACCTCTGGGGGCTCACAGACCCCCCGCGACTGCCCTGGGCCGCTTCCAAATTGCCCGCGACAGGCCACGCTGGCCGTACAGATGATCAAGAAAGCGTCAAGAGGCCCCCGAGACGCCCAAGAGCGCCCCAAGAGGGCCCGAGATGGCTCGAAGAAGGCCGACGTGGGCCCCAAGAGGGCCTTCAAGAGGCATACATCGGACCATTCCTTTCGTAAAGCGTACGTTTTCAGCATACTCGCTTGCTTCGCCTCCGCAGAGCCCCAGACGCCCCCGAGGCGCCCCAAGACGGCCCAAGGGAGACCCAAGAGGGCCCAAGACGGCCCAAAAGGGTCGTCCTGTGGGGCTCACGGAACCCCCCGAGGCGGCCCAAGAAGTCCCAAAGTCGGCCCACGAGGCCCCCAAGACGGCTTCAGGGAGGCCCAAGAGGGCCTCGTTCGAAATCATGTTTCCGGAAGCTTCTCTGGGAACGTGA